GGCTCTCAGAGGCAGACCAAACTGAAAGTTCTCCTTTCATTCATTCAGACCAGCATCATGAAGGACTTTAGTATAGTGATGGGAATGTGATTGAATTAACCTGCTACTCTCAGCAGAATCAGCTAGGAATTTCAAATGGAGGCTGAGCACAGGTGCTATTCAGAATCCTTAAGGACCCTCAAAGACCCACATATTCTCTTCTCTCTAATGGCTGATTAAAGCAAAATTGGTGCTTCCATTGAGAATGCCAAAATATGTGGACTATATGCAAATGAAAGTATTTTAACAGACAGAAAACCTAGGTGTTTGGGACCAAATATCATGAGGGCAGTCTATGCCTCTCTAAAGTCTTCAGTAACATTTCCCATTGTGTCCCATGACCCAGTATATTATAATTACTGATGCAGTATATTTAATAATATATTTTTTTTTTTTAGTTTTTGAAGACTGGGTTTTTCTGTGTGATCAGCTTGGCTTTCCTGGATGTCACTGTATATAACACAGTGGCCTCAAACTCACAGGGAGTAGCCTGTGTCTACATCTCCAGTGGTGGGATTAAAAGTGTGAGTTGGGTGATGATGTCATAGGAAAAAATAGATGAACAGAAAAGGGGACACACAAAATAGCTGGAATTAGGTGGACTCTGCCCTCTGTAAGAGAACCAATCTCACCAGGAATTACTGCCTATTCATAACAAAGAGATGAACAGTGTTTCAGGGGTCATACCTACAGGTAGAGGGGTCATTCTCTCCATCTGAATACGGCAGCAGGTTTGGATCATGTCAGGAGGGACATTCTCTGTAGGGGAGCACAGCTGAGGCTTAATCCACTATTGGAGAAGGCTGGGGTGAATATTTTCTGAACACTATCAACATCCACATGCAGGACAGGGGGTGTTCTCATTTGATGAGTCTAAACAACCCTCAACACCTGAAAGGCTCATTTTACAAGTTTCCCATGGGCCTGAGTGTGTGCTCTCTGTCATGGATGCTTCCCTATATACAAATGACACTCATTCAGTCCTTCACAAATTGGAATCTTCCTCTGTTCTCCATATACACATTTACTAATTTCTATGTTAGAATTTATGTCAAGTATCGCACTATGAAGTACACACATTTTAGTTTGTATTACTATCCGTGGATCTGATAATATTGATACCTTTCTACCATTAGATGAACACTTATCATGCCAAAGCAGCATGTAGTGAATACAAACCAGTAATATGTATATTTATCTTGAATTTAGTGAAGAGAAT